TTTAGGTTTCATTTTTTGTTTTGTTTTGTTTTTTAATTATCTTCTAGGGAAAACACTGACGAATGTTCAGAGCTCCCATTCTGATCTATCTCATCAAGGCGCCTTTCCTAATAATATGGTTCAACTGTGAATGTAGAATGGGGGGAGGGGGGAGAAAAAAACTCTGGAGTTAGATGATATAGAAAAAATAAAAATACAATTGTTACAAATAAAGAATGCAGACTTCAAAAACAAAAGAAAGCCACAACCCCCCAAAAAAACAAAATTTAAATGCTCAGATTGGCAGCACAAAAGAAACGTTCTCTTCTGACATGTATCAAGGCAGTCTGAACGCCCCCAGAAAATTGTGCCAAAGAGTTTAGAAAACAAATACACAATAAAGTAAACACACACGCACATAGCAAACTTCAGATAACTATTTTGGATTGCAAACAAGGATAAATTTAATGTTCAAACAATCTGATAAAATAACCATTTGGAAACTGCTTGGCCTTCTGTTCTCTTATTTGATTGACTGCAATGCGGTATTGGTCTCTTGCTGCACTTCAAAACCAACTAACCAACAACAAAAGAATATATAAGTATATATATACATATACTTAGACTAGAACTCTTGTGATGAAAGTGGCACTTGAAAAAGGTTATATTTTTCCACTGAAGTTGAAGATTAATAAAATGGTGTCAAACATTCCCCTGGTCACACGCTTTAATATTTTTTTAAAAGTGTGATGTGCTGTGATAACCATAAATCAGACTTAATTATGTTCCCTTTACACAGGGAACAGGGCACCCTGAATTTGGGTTTTAGAATCTTTCAGCAATAAGGGATGTGGGTGAGCTTTGATCCTCTTCTGGTTTTGCAGTTATTAGAGGAGTTTTTGCCGGCATTTGGAATATGCTGCTTTCAAAAAGACCAAGGAAGATTTTTAAATGCTTCCTAGTATTTGGAGGATTGAAAAACAAGACCTTAAACCCCCACTTCCATTTTCATTCTAGCAAAAAATAGGGGCTTATGTATTTCTCTGCCATTTTCCCCTTCCTGTCCAAGCCTTTTGTTCATATGTGGGTTTGGCTCAGTTTTGCCCATCCACATGGCAGCATCTCTAATAGCTCTTGTACAGGGTATCAGATATTGTGCCTTTTGGTGCCAGGTTCAAAGTCAAGTGCCGATCTATGAACCAGTGTACAAAAATAAATCCAGGTATTTGAAGAAAAGACGCTCCATTGTGAATAGAGTGCACCAGCTCTTAAGCCCTAAGAAGAGACCTGGCCCTCTAATGCCTTGTGTACATTTTAGTTGTTCCTTGAGGGAGAGGGTATACTAACCATTCCTGGTAGACAGGGTTTGGTCAAGGCTTAGGGATGCGGCAGGAATATTGGGGAGAAAAAAATGATCATTCCTCAGTGCTACCCATTTCTGTCCTGTGTGGGCTGCTTAGCTAGACAGCAGGAGAATAAAGTACACCAAGAACCATAATGAAAACAAAACCTCGCGTGTGTTTTGTCATTTTGTTCCAGGGAAGCAGTTGACAAGTGCTGTTATTAAGGCTTTCTCCCAGATCCGTTCAGTGATGGAGAGGAGGAAAATGGGCTGGTTGGATTGTGGTCTTGGTGCCTCGCAGTTATTCTGCACTGGTTATGCATTTAATCTAGTTACCTTTGGCTAGTGGGTATTCCATAGTCTGGGTATTTGTACCACCTAAGGCAACTGGATGCAAAATACATTCTATCCACTCTTCTCTGGGCCTCCCCCTCCCTAGTCTTGGCACATTCCTTCAAGAATGTAGTTACCGTCTGCTTGGGAAGATGTCAGTGCAAATGTGAAGAAAATGGACATCGGACTAGGCTTTGGTTTGCCACAGTGGCAGCTGCCTATATCAATTACAATTACATTTATTAATTTTGCTTTTCATTTTTCCAGTTCCCCTCAGCTCCCCTCTGTTGAAATGTTGGCTGTCAAGAGGCAACTGTGATGCTGCCTTAGGGACTTGTGGAGAAAGGGAGGGGAATTGCTCAGTGTAGTGTTTCACTTTCAGAACCAAGTAAATCTAGTCACTCATATTTAAGAAGTGTGTTAGTCTGACTTTAAAAGAAATCCAAACTCCATCAGCTTTTGATAGCATCTTGGTTTTCAAAACAACGTCAATCTGTAATTGGCATTTAGAATGCCCTTGGCATGCCAGTCTGTGATGGCATTGAAGACCTGTTAAAACACTTGAGCCCAACTTTATTAACCAAAACTGATACCACCACCTTTATCTTCTAAATAAAGTCCGCTTTATTTTTATTTTCAACATTTTGCCGCTTCATTTTTGGTTCCAGATGGTGTCACCTTGGAGGTGAAATGAGTGGTTTGAAAGAAGCTGGAACGTGTGGTGGTGATGTGTGTGAGTTGGGGAGAGGAAGGACAGATACATCTGTCTTAAGAATGGACTGTATGTAATGTAGTGGGAAATAAAAACATTCCCCACAAGTGAGGGAGTGCAAAGGTACTACACAGAAGAGGTGTCCTGTTCGGAAAGGGTGAAGCTGCTAAAGATTGGCCTCGTGCATATTTTTCAGGTTAATGATATGGGCTGCTTAAAGGCTCACCACAAAGGTTGGCTTTTTAGGTTGCAACATGTATTTAATTTCTACTTCCACTTTTGCCCCAGAAACTTGTAGAGAAATGAACACTAACTTGGGATTTAGGAACTGGGTCCTTTCCTTCACCCTACTGCTTAGTAGCATAGTGGCACCTGCAGCGTATTTTATGGAAATACCCACTTGTTTAGTTTACATTAGGCAAATACAATGAGGGCTAACCCTAATTCTCCTACCTTAGCCTCCATGTGGCCTTTTACCTTTTACAGATGCACACACTTGTCAAGAAATTTTGATCATGCCTACTCCCAACTGTTTATAAATTCTATACCTGTACTACTGTACCCATATATTGTGTAGTCATAACAAAAAATAGAATTAAAGAGCAATTGATCAAAAAGTAAATATAAACAAAAGTTCTAATATTTTTATGTCCAACTTTGGAGATTACTTGGTTATAGAGGTAACTTGTAATTCTAATCAGACTGCATTAAATCCTGAGTGATGGTAATTGACCAAGGACATTTCTCCAGGAAAGGTGTACTGAGAGGAAAAAAATTACATCAAATGGCAGGGAGAGATTTGCTTTCCCTGCTAAATTTGTTTTTTTCCTTTTCAACATTTCTCCAGATAACTCCTCATTCTCATATACCTGCTTCCCAGCAAACACTCAAAAAGAACACAGAACAAGGTTACAGTTCCACCTGGCCTTAGTAAGGCTTCCAGCCTGAAGTGAAAAATAGTAAACATTGAGATTTTGTATGTTCCATTATAGCTTTTATTTAAATTGATTTTAGGGAGAGAGAGGAACCTTGGTTGCCTCCCATATGCACCCTGACCAGGGTTCAAACCCACAACCTGTGTACATGCTCTGACCGGGAATTGAACTGGTGACTGGTGCATGGGATGATGATCACACCAGTCAGGGCTGTTCTATTTATATCTTAACTAGAGGCCCATTGCACAAAATTGTGCAGGGCGTGTCCCCTCAGCCTGGCCTGCCCCTTGGGGGATGTCTGCCTGCTAACTTAGGTCTGATCCCTCCCTCCCCCCTCCAGCAGTCAGATATTTCTCTCACAGTCCAGGACTCCTTGGGGGATGTCACCTGCTGGCTTAGGCCCGCTCCCCGCAGGGATCGAGCCTAAACTGGCAGTCGGACATCCCTCTCGCAGTCCGGGACCCCTCCCTCCTTACTGCCCTCCTACTCGCTGCTCCTTCTTTGGTGCTGCCGCAGAGGTGGGAGAGGCTCCTGCCACCACTGCTGCGCATGCCAGCCATGAGCCCCACTTCTGGCCCTGTGGGAGCACACTGACCACCAGGAGCATCTGCCCCCTGGTGGTCAATGCGCATCATAGCGACCAGTTGTTCTGGACGTTCTGCCTTAATGGCCGCTTAGGCTTTTATTATATAGATTCTCAGCAACTTGAACAGTCACTATTCCTGTTTACTGCTGAAGTTAGGAGGGGAAGAAAGATTGACACCAGACCAAGGTCACATGGAGCTTGAATTCAAACCCAGGTCTGACAGCAAAATCCAAGCTTTTCTCATGTTTGTCCTATACTGATGCTATCAGCATCTTAGCAATATAAATACAAGGGCCCATGCACATATTTATAATATGCATCTATTTACTTCATAGGACTATTTAAAAGTATATTTTAAGTTTGTTGCTTAGTGATTTTTTGCCAGTTTTCCCAACTATAACGTAAGCTCCCTAATGCAGTGCCCTTGGCTGTCTTATTTATTGCTATATCCCCAGACTGGAGCGGCATCTGATGTATCGTAGACCTTCAATAAATATTTGTTGAACGAATGACATGTCAGTACAGGGAGTTTCTGGAATGGCATCAGCCTTTGAAGGGCAGAGCATCCAGGAACTTGGGAACAGCAGGGCCGCAGAAGACTTGGGCTTCTACTCTCCTGCTTCTCATTTGCTGC